TGAGTTGGTGGCTCATAGGCTACGGCCTGACACGATGAATGGATCAAAGTTGGGGTCAGCAACCCCAAGATTCCATTGTTTCAGATAATCCATTTTGGCGTGTCGGCTTGCGTGTTGGATTCTTCGGTGCTTCTTTGCATCAATAGCAGCAAACAAATCCCAACCTCCAAGCCGCCAAGCTGGTTTTGAGAGTCTCGTCATCGACTGGCCTTGAGGTTGCGCTCTTCGCAGCTTTGCCCACGGAGTTACTACAAGTTGCGGCGACCTTGGCGTCGGTGTCTCTGCAAAACTCGAAGGCACTAAGGCCACACGGTGGCCGAAGAGTCATGAGAGAGGATATGATAAGAGGGAGTTGGCTTTGGCAGGCGAATGCCCCCCTCTGGGGCGTCAGCTTCAAACCACAGGATCACCGCGAACATGGAGCCCTGAAAGCTATCACTGGCATCTCATTGTTTGGGACCCATGTTGGGGTAGTTCAATTTGCAGCTGGACATTGGTTCCTTTGGCTTGCAGGCAACTCCAGAGTCCCAGGCACGGCTACCCAGAGCATTCTGCGCGGCTTAGGTACTCCTTGGTATTTGTGGAGTTGCAATACCTGGGGGCGTACCTCCTTGAAACGGAAAGGCTGGGTGAAAGTGTCCAAAACTCTCGCTCAAAACACTGACAGCTTTCACACATGCTCAGCTAGCCAGGTGGCTAACGGTGCTGCTTTGCCAATGTTGCGTCCTCGAATTGCCCTCTCACTAACATGGAACCTCGACGTCCGCGAAAGTTCTTTGATTTGAAGTGGCTTTCTGGTAGGTTCCATGTTGGGAGGGCCTGCCAGCAGCGCCAGGCACGGGTTCTCCCTGGACGAGGCGCGGAGTCGGGGGTTGCAGTGTCCGGACATATGGCCATGGGTCAAAACCCCGTACCCCCGGTGAACATCCCAATCCCCGCTAAAATAGACTAAAATGGGTGGTGCACCTATCCAAAATGGTACCATTGGTTTTGACCCGCAGCCATATCGCCTTTTAAATAGAGTCAATGCACTTCCATGTGGGTGTACTCGGTCCGGCGCGTCCTGTTGAGAACCCCCTGACCTGCTGGGTTAATATCGATGCTTTTGGTCTTCCTTTGAGCAACATCTAAAGGGGCGCCCGCTCATATGAGGACGCCCTCAAAAGTAGTCAAGGATCGATCCGCTTGTCTTGCTTGCATCCATGAGACTTAGCAAGCTCTTTGTTCCAGGTTCCGATGTTTGGGTAGCTACACCAAGACTTTTTTGCCATATCTGTTGCAGGTAGCAACATATGGTTTGTTTGTGATTCACCATAGACACCGGATAGCTTGCAGACAGTCGAAGGACAAAAGCACATCAATCGTACCATACCAAGGAGAATAGTACGCATGGTGTCTCTCGCTCGGCACTTTGAGTCAGGTGTTTGAGATGGTGCAGTATGAGGGCAACTGCCTACCTCGGCTCTACATGTTGATCACCGTGGGTATGGTGTCCGGGGCTTACCGAAATGACTCGTCCGGCCTCTCGCAGATTCCCCGGGTCATGGGTATGCAAATGAATTGGCTTAGCTTTTGGGTTTAGTTTGGGCGTTGGCAAATAAACAAACCACAACTCACCAACAAGCCCACAATCAAGGTCCGGCTGACCGTGACATGGAATCTGCGTTTGTGATCTTGCTCAACTCGAATCAGTTTCAACCATACGAGACTCCTGCCATGGCCCAGGAAAACAGCATGACTTGTGCCCAATAATTCAAAAAGCAGGCAGAAGTAAAAGGAAGCGCAGAACTCATCTTTCATTCCGCAGCCAGGAGTGTTTGAGATAAACGTACTTTTATCCATTCGCAGGTTTCCACATCGCCGAGGCGCATGCTGGCGGACGAAGACTCGGCAGACGAAATCCTGGAAGACCTCGACAGCATGGTCAGCGCGGTGCTGGCCCCCAGCAGGAGTTGGGGAGTCGAGAGGCTTGTGAGAGCTCCAACTCATGAGGCAGGTGAGGTGAGAATTGGAGGTCAAATGACAGTCAGCCACAGGGTTCTCACAATGTGCGCCACATGGTGTTTGCTGGCAAATGATTCTGGCTATAGACTGGGCAGGGTGACTTGAAGCCGGAATGCAAGGGCATAGATACTTGAAATGGAGTTGTGGGGTACATTAAAACTTAAACCCATATTTAGGCTTGATGACAGGGAAATACTATTAGCAAGTATTTAGTCCCTCAAATTAGGCGGATTTTCATGGACGAGTGCGTCAAACTGATTATGAAATCCAAGGACGCCTCACAGAATGTAGGTGACGGGGGTGGGCTCCTCCAATGCATTTAGGTGTGTTTCACTTTTATTACTTTGCTTCCTTCGATAAATTTGCATGGGGTCCTCCTTAGCCCGTACATGAAGTCAAACCATCCTTTGCCGCTGTGTTTTATGCTTGTGTTGCATATGTCAGAATCGAACACATAGCCCAGAAGAAAGCCTGTGTAAGAGCTCTCCCGTTTGATCACAGGCAAGGTCATATTTATCTTTTGCGGACGCAACCAATCACGGCCTTCAAGCACAAAGTCCTTAACCCCGCTGGTGAGACTGGCTCGTCCAAGGTGCAGCATCCGGTGCGGGGCTTGTTCTTGCGCTATTACCTCCTCCAAGTGGTGAAGGACGATTTACCCGGCCATGCAAGGTAGAGCTACTAAACTAGCTGAGTCTCTAAGTTGTCTCTTCCACGACCTTTGTATCGTAGTAAGCGAGAACGCAGCCAGTGGTTGTGTTTACGACCAGTATGGGCTACCAATTGACGCAATGAGATTGAACATTTCGTAGGGGGAACGAGCCGATGCGTGCCGAATAGTGTTTCCCGTGGGCTAGCTGGGGCAGGGTAAGAATTACGCACCATTGGCCAGCTGGGGCAGGGTAAGGCTTACGCACCATTGGTCGCTTAAACAAAGTATACATACACACGTACATGCATACGTATATTGTGACATACGTGCAAGCATGCATGGCCACTGCATTGTCCCATTCTGCTTGCTGCGAGGTGTTGCTGTTCGCAGCGTGCCGTGACCAACTCAAGTGGGTGGTAGCAGCCTTGGCGGCGACTGCTGGAAAACAATCAGTTACACATTCACAAACCCACGTTGTGAAAAACACATCATGCCAGATAGCAAGATCTGCTGATCGTGTGCGGGCCGTGTTGCTGGCTTTCTTCTCTTTATGACTTCCGAAACAAACCGAATCCAAAGCAGCTTTGAACAGTGGGTCTAGTTTAGTTCGATCCATGCTGATCTCCCCAATCTGATTATCTGCAGAACTGAAACTCACTTGGACTGTTGTGATTGACCTACGTCGTTTGATCTTTCATGCAGAGGGATCCCAAGGATTGTAGAAATCCTTTTGGGGGGTCCCTTTGTTTCTGCGAAGCGCTCAAAAGGTAAACCCTGGTGTTTATGTGTTGTAGCTGACGTTATCCTCTTTCCGACAACGGAAGATGTCGTTTTTCGTGTGTTCCAAATCCCTGTGCACTTCCATTGAGTTCCATCATTGGAAACCGGAGCTTTTCGCGATTCCCCCTTCGTTTAGCCATCCCTACAGGAATTGTGCCATCTTGTGTGACCCCCGAATTAATTGACCTGGTTGATTTTGAGAGAGGGGGCGTCATGGGGTGTCCAATTTCTCGTGAGAATTCAGACCACTTTGTGGTCGACCATGGGCCTCGCTGGAAGTCTAAGTGTGGGCCCGGAAGTCTCCCAGGACAAGCTGTCAAGTCTGCAGAACCCCCTCGGCGCCATGCCGGACCACTCAGATCGACCGTGTGGAACGGCTGTTTGGAGTTGGTGCTGGGGGGGCGAGCGTTTGCTGGGGGTAACCAAGCAGAAAAATGTTCAGCTTTTTTTTTTTTTGGGGGGGGGCTCCCCTACTCAGAGAGTGATTCGTGTTGGCTCCAGGTTTGGTCACTCGAAATCAGACGCCAACTTGCGCTGTTGTATGTTTGCTCGCTGGCACAGTGTCGTGGCTTGTTTGGGAAAATATGTATCCGTCGGTTTGGATGGTTGGAAAGATTCTAGATAGTCACAAACAGCTAAACCCCTTCTGCATCAAGGCGTGGAGGTCCGAAGCTGGTTTTGAAGCCATGCTTTCCTACGGGCCAGGCCGAGTCCATCTGCCGTGCATCCATCCCGCGCGTTCAGGAAGTTTTTGCTGGGTACCTTCAAGCAGGTGGTCATCCTTTGGCAACGCCTTCGCTTGGAGGTTGGGGGGGCTCGGGGAATGTACCTTTTGCAGGTCCCAGGAAGGCTCAGAAAACCCGGCAATCTGGGAGGCTTAGTATGGGGTTTGGTGTGTCTTGGGGCCTTGACAGGGAGTTGGAGCGGAGATGGAGAGGCAGAGCCCAACCAATTTATACTGCCGGTAATGAAGGTGCAGGTGGAGGTGCCCATATTCCCGATGTGTTCTTGAATTGGCGGAAATGGATACAGAGTCGCAAAGTTTCAGTGACACATGTCTACTGCTGTACGGCCGTTTTGCGGTCGAGCCAGATTTGGCTTGTTTGAGCAGTGGACACCATGGGGGGGCAAGTTGCACCTGTTCGAGGTGCTTGTGCCTCACGGAGCTTGACAACCAATGGTGGAACTTTGGGTTGCTTGGGGAGGTGTTGAGCTTAGCCTTGACTGTGATTTCCAGATGCTTCTGAAGCTCCTTTCGGAGAGACCCTTGAAGCTCCCAGGAACACGTGAATGGCACGGCCTGTCTCAGTCCATACTGCTCTTGACACCCTTTTTGAGTAGCAGACGATACAATCGAAGCCAAGCGGAAGCACCATGTCGTTGGGTTGTTGAGATGATCAGCTGTTTGGCTCGGCATGCGGGAAAAAAAAGAGGCACGAGTTGAGTCTCAATGCATTGAGCATTTCACAGGCTCTCAGTTGTTGAGTGGCACTCCTTTTTGTCCCTTTTGCTTGGTTTCATACTCATGATCATCCTGAAGGAGGGTTCCCTTTTTCCGCCAACTTCACCGGGAAACCGGGGGATCCGCTTCCACCCGAACGCACCTCGGGGCCCAATGGGCCCAAAGCGCCATGCCAACTGTGACGGTGGTCAGCGCCACCACTGGCGATGAGTTGCTCACGATCGAGATCGGCGCCTGGGCCGGGGGAGAGAGCCGGCGCCCAGCATGCTCGATTTAGACCAGGTCCCACAGCTAGGTGCCCGACCTCTCAGCCCTTTTTTTTTTGGGGGGGGGGGTTCCGTACGTTGAACACTGCCGGACAGTATAACTGTTAAACATGCGACGCAGATAGATAAATAGATGGACAGATAGATAAATAGAGATATAGATCGATAGAGAGAGAGAGAGAGAGAGACCGAAATATATATAGATGGATGGAGTGATAGATAGATTGATTGAGAGAGAGAGAGGGAGCTAGAAATATAGGTAGATAGATAGTTAGATAGGTAGGTAGATAGGTAGACAGATAGGTAGATAGTTAGAGAGATAGATCGAAACAATAAGAAAGAAATAACAGAAAGAACGGAAAGAACTAAATAAAGAAGGAAGGGCAGGAAAGGAAGGAAGCAGGAAAGAAAGAAAGAAAGAAAGAAAGAAAGAAAGAAAGAAAGAAAGACAGACAGACAGAAAGAAAAAAAGAAAGAACGAAGGAAGGAAGGAAGAAAGAAAGAAAGACAGAAAGAAAGAACAACAAATAACAAAGAAAGCAATAACGATGGACGGAAAAGACACAATGAAAATAAAAAAGGAAAGAAAGAAGAGAAACATCGAGAAAAGAAAGAGAAGGACAACTATAGTTTATATATTTTGGAAACTTCCGCCCCCCGGCTGCGCCGGACCTTACTGGCAACGTTTGGGGCCGCGTGCCGGTTGATTGCGCTTTGTGATTTGTACATGATTTGTGTCAATAGGGGGATTCACGCTGACCATGGCCACGTGCAGGGGCACAGAAAATTGAGATAGTGGCTGGTGGACAGCGGGGTCGGTGCTGCCACCAAGGCTGGGGAAATGCGCATATGTAGCGGAATGCGCTGCAGCTGCTTTTTTGTTTTGTCTTTGTTGCTGGCTGGCACGCAGCGGGGTCGGTGCTGCTGCTAGAGTCGGGGAGGTGCACATGCGTAGCGGGGTGTGCTTCGCGCCGCGGGGCAACGCAGAGTTGTGAAGTATTGGATCAGACGTTGGCTGGTGGACAGCGGGGTCGGTGCTGCCACCAGGGTCGGGGAAGTGCGCGTGTGTAGCGGGGTGCACTTCGCGCCGGCAGAAGGCGCGGGCAGACAGCCTGACAGACAGATAGCCTGACAGATAGATAACCCAACCAATAATAAATAGCTGGACCCGCCGCGCCCGCCGCGCTCGCCGCGCCCGCCGCGCTCGCCGAGCGGCCGCGCCCGCCGTGCCCGCCGTGCCATCGTGCCCGTCGCCCGCCGCGCCCGTGCCGCGCCTGCGCACGCGCACGCCGCGCGCCGCGCCCGCGCCCGCCTGCGCGCGCCGCGCTCGCCACGCTCGCCGCGCTCGCCGCGCCGCCGAGCCCACCGCGCCCGCCGCGCCCGTCGCGCCCGCCGCGCATGCCGCGCCCGCCGCGCTCGCCGCGCCCGCCGGGCCGCGCCCGTCGCACCGCCGCGCCCGCCGCGCTCGCCGCGCGCCCGCGCCCGCCGCGCCCGCGCCGCCACGCCGCCACGCCGCCACGCCCGCCGCGCCCGGGCCGCGCCCGCCGCGCCCGCGCCCGCCGCGCCGCCGCGCCAGTGCCCGCCGCGCCCGCCGCGCCCGCCGCGCCCCGCCGCGCCCGCTGCGCCCGCCGCGCCGCCCCGCGCCCGCTGCGCTCGCCGCGCTCGCCGCGCGCCCGGCGCTCCCGGCCCCCCCCCGCCGCGCCCGCCGCGCCCCCGCGCCCACCGCGCTCGCCGCGCGCAGCGCCCGCGGCGCCACGCGCCTGCCGCCCCACCGCCCACCGGGCACGCCCACGCCCGCCGCCGCACATCGCCCCGCGCCGCGCCGCGTCCGCCGCATCACGCCCCGCGCCGCCCGCAGCGCTCGCCGCACCCGCGCCCCCGCGCCCGCCGCGCCCGCCGCGCCGCCGCGCCGCGCTGCGCGCTCGCCGCGCGCGCCGCGCCCGCGCGCGCGCCCGCGCTCGCCGCGCCTCGCCGCCTCGCGCCCGCCGCGCCCGCCGCGCCGCGCGCCCGCCGCGCGCGCGCCGCCGCCCGCGCGCCGCGCGCCGCGGCCGCGCTCGCCGCGCCGCCCGCCGCCGCGCCCGCCGCGCACGCCGCGCCGCCGCGCCCGCCGCGCCGCCGCGCTCGCCGACGCCGCGCCGCGCCCGCCGCCCGCGCGCGCCCGCGCCGCCCGCCCGCCGCGCCGCGCCGCATCCGCCGCACCCACCGCGCCCGCGCCGCCCGCCGCGCGCCACGCCCGCCCGCGCCGCCCGCCGCGCCGCGCGCTCGCGCGCGCCGCGCCCGCCGCGCCCGCCGCGCCGTGCCCGCCCGCGCCCGCCGCGCCACCGCGCCGCCCCGCGCCCGGCGCGCCTGCCGCGCCCGCCGCGCCCACGCCGCCCGCGCCCGCTCGCCGCGCTCGCCGTGCGCCCGGCGCGCCCGGCCCGCCCGCCGCGCCCGCCGCGCCGGCCCCCGCCCGCGCGCGCCGCCGCGCCCACACGCGCGACCGCGCCCGCGTGCCGCACCCACCGCCCGCCACGCCCCGCGCCCACGCCACCGCGCCCGCGCGCGCCCGCCGCGCGCCGGCCGCGCCCGCGCGCCCGCTGCGCCGGCGCTCGCCGCGCTCGCCGCGCGCCGCGCCGCCGCGCCCGCCGCGCCCGCCGCCCGCCCGCGCCCGCCGCGCCCCGCGCCCGGGCCCGCGCCTGCCGCGCTCGCCACGCCCCGCGCTCGCCGCGCCCGCGCCGCGCCGCGCCGCCGCGCTCCCGCGCCCGCCGCGCCCGCGCGCCCGCCGCGCCGCCGCGCTCTCGCTCGCTGCGCCCGATCCGCCGCCACGCCAGCTTCACCGCCGCGCCCGCCGTGCCGCGCCGCGCGCGCCCGCTGCCGCGCCGCGCGCCCGCCGCGCCCGCCGCGCGCCCGGCGCGCCCACCGCGCCGTGCGCGCCGCGTGCCCGCGCCTGCTGCGCCGCGCCCTTCCGCCGCGCCGCGCCGCGCCGCCGCGTCGCACCGCCACCGCACCGCGCGCCCCACCGCGCCTCGCCGCCGCCCCCACCGCGCCGCGCCCGCGCGCCGCTGCCGCGCCACTGTGGGTGCGGCAGGCGCGGCGAGAAAGCGGGCACGGTGGCGGCGAGCGCGCAAGCGCGGCTTGCGCGCGGCGCGGCAGCGCGGCGGCCGCGGGCGCGGGCGCTGCGGCGGACGCGGGCGTGGGCGCGTCAGCGGGCGCGTCGGGCGGCAGGCGCGGTGGGCGGCGGGTGGGGCGGCGCGCGGCGGCGCGGCGGGCTGCAGCGCGCACAGCCGCACCATCGCGCCCGCCGCGCCCGTCGCGCCCGCCGCGCCCGCCGCGCCCGCAGGGCCCTTTACACGGGAATGTTAGCCGTAAAATGGCGCAGGAGTGTCCACTGCACGGGGGGGTTCCCCTACTAAAATAGACTGCGGAAAAAAAGGTACTCTTATTTTAACCTTTCTACTGGAGGACCTAGTGCATTGCTCTATTTGGCTGTGGTTGTCAAAACCAATGGTACCATTTTGGGGGTCCCGGTGCACCACCCGTTTTAGAACAAATTTTAGTGGTTGGATTGGGATGTTCACTGGGGGCACGTTTTGGATTTGACCCATGGCCATTTATATAGATTTCGCAAGTGTCGTCGCGTTGGGCCACAGGAAGCAATCTGGTTGAAGCTCAGAGTTGGAACGCTCGTCAGGGGCTCACGCGACCTCATGGCTGGCCAAACGCGGTCATTTGCTAATAGCTCACGAAGGGGCGCTCGAAGGGGTGTTGGATCCCCACCGCCTTAGCAGTGTTTGGGAGGCGGGGTGCGCCACTTCCCCCCCCCAAAAAAAAATGCAGGGCCCTGGTCCATACATTTGCCCGGAATGTTCGGACAATGACAAGGGACATGAATGTATGGAGGGCTTAACCCCAGGTTGTGAAATCAGTTGGGGATGTGGATGCTTTTGCAGGGGCCCTTTTTCAATTGTCCCTAACAGCCCTTTTTCAATTGTCCCTAACAACCTTGGCAGTTTGATTCGGTTTTGGTCTCCTTTGTGTTTGAAGGAGGTGGCTGTCCGCTTCCTAGGTGAGGAGTGCCACGTGGGTGAGCTGAAGGCGGGACGTGAGCAAATGGAGACGTGGCGGGGTGGGTGTGTCAAAAGATGTCGTCTTTCTTACTCTTCGTACATCCCTTCAATGAGGGGCCGGAAATTTTGGTTTGGGAGGAGGTCTGAAGGAGGCTTTGGGGGCTGGGGGGCTTTGTTTGTGTCCCTTTTGCCTTTTGGCTTTCCTTCATGCGAACCGGGTGGGTATATGCCAATTTGGCCCTTGGTACCCATTGGCGGTTTTTCTCTGGGCCTCCCGACCTGAAGCGGGCGGGCATCAGAAGACCAAACCAGGCCTCAAACCCCCCGCTGTTCAAGGAGAGAAAACGGCACTCGGCTCCTGAACAATATGTGTTTTTTTGTTTTTGTTTTTTTTTTTCTCGAAGCCTCAGTATGTGTGCCAGCGACGATCGTGTTTGTATTTACCTTTTGTGGGTGCTCCTGCTGACAGAATGCTACTTGCTGTTTCTGTTTCAGGGTGCTGGGTCATACCCGGAGCTGCTACCCGCTTACCAAACAGCTGATCATTCGTTTAAGTAGGCATCGCGCGTGCGTGCGCGTGCGTGCGTGCGCGCGCGCAGGCGGGCGGGCGGGCGGGCGGGCGGGCGGGCGGGCGGGCGGCTGGGTGGCTGGGTGCGTGGGTGCCTGGGTGCCTGGGTGCCTGGGTGGGTGGGTGGGTGGGTGAGTGAGTTTGGTAATCCCCTTTTGGGCTGGTTTTGAAGGGGAGGCCAAGAAAAAAACCGAAGCCCATTTCGGGCTCATAAGCACAAAC